AGCATCCCCTGTCTCTATTCGGTGTCGAACAGCATCTGTGTACCCTAAGTCTCCCTCCCCTCTGGCGAACACATCATCAAATCTATACAGAAGGGTACGAAATTTGTTGAGTTGCTGCCCCGTCAATTTTGCATCAATCTTTACTTCAGTTGTTGGCGGGTCTGAGTTGGATTGCCCACATGCTGGGGTGACATCGTGGCAGACGGGACTCATTGGGGTCTCTCCAGATTTGTTCATCGGGACCTCCTCTACAACGTCTCCATGATAAAGGGTACCCAAACAACTGCGTTCTGGCAGAAGAACATCCTGCTCACTGTCATTCATCAGCACCACAGCCAGTTTTCCCAAGGAAACAGTCACCAATCCTCTCACCACCTGAACACCCCGCGGGAGGTTGGTACCTTCAAACGGTTCGAGAACTGCTTTGTACTCAACATCTCCTGGTGCTCTCCGTGCAGACGCCTCTGCAACAACAGCGTGCTGGGCAGGGACTAGCAGAGGGGGTCCTCTTTTCAAGTGCACCTTCCCAATGGCAGCTTGGACCTCGTTAAAAGCTCGACGCTTCCTAATGGCCTGCAGCGTCTTCTCCCACACCGGTTCAACGCCGTCCACTTGAAGTTTGCGGAGGTATCCCTGTCCATGACTGTCAATTAGTTTAGACCAACAGTCAGACAAAATGTTCATCCCCACAATGCCTGGGGCATTAGAGGGACTAGCATTAGACCCTGCCTCTTGTATGACTAAAACGAGTCGGGATGGAACAGTCACTCCCAGCAAATGCACATCAGTCTCAAAACATCCTACATAGGGGATGTTTGCGCCATTAGCTGAGATGAGTCTGAATTTCTCTGGAATACTCTCAAGTTTCACACCCTTTGGTGCCAGGACGCTGTCAAAGTAGCCCTTGGTGATGGTAGTGACCATGGATCCTGTGTCCAACAAGCAAGAAACAGTCTGGTTTCCAAACTTCACATCAACTGCATAACAATCTGAGGCAGCACGTGCTTGAAAACCAGGTAAGTCATGATGAGTTGAGCCAGTTATTCCATTCCCCACTGTTTGGCTCCCAACAGTAGGATGTACTAGTTTCCCGAAGGACCCATGGCTCCTAATGGTGAAGGGGGTGGGGGGTTTGGGCGCGGCCGAGCAGAGTTGAGGCAATTCCTCGCAAAATGTCCGGGTTGGCCACACCTGAAGCATCTTGGAGTGGACTGAACTGGTGCAGTATACGGGTTGTCAACGGCTCTCGGCTTTGGGAAGTTGGGGTAGTCTGTCTGGTGCCACCAAGGTCTGGGAGGTTGGCCCCCAGGCTGTGCCAAAAGGGCTTGGGGGGAAATCGGAGTAGGCAGTCTTTCAGCAGGTGGAATCCTCTCGGCGAGGGATTTCACAGATACCATGATTTCTTGCATCTGTTTCTCCAGTCGCTGGATTGCGTCAGGTTTCATCCCAGCCTCCATAGCCGATGAGGTACTTTGAAAGGCTGTAGTCTGCGCTCGGGCCCGTTCTCGTTCCTCCCGCTTTATGGCCCAGTCCTTCACTTCTCCGAAGGAGATAGATGGATTGCGATCGACAAAGTCTCTGCAGGAGTGCCTCAGCCCCTCTTGCTCGATGCCGTCTACGAACTGCTCTCGGATGATGGTGTCTGGATCTTTGTATAGTCCGGGGTCTCGCTTAAACAGTCGTTGGAACAGTCGTTGTAGCTCCACGCCAAACTGACGAATGGACTCACCACGCTGCTGTCGTCGTTCCAAACACCGCCGCTGCAACTCTCCACTTGTTAGGGTCTCCCCATATGACGTCGTTAGGTACTTCAAGGCCTCCTTTGTGGTTTTACCGGATGACAACAGTGACCGCACTTCAACTTTCGGACCACCCCGGAGTGAATCCAGTAGAAATTGGCCCCGCTGGTCTTCCGGGATGTGGTATCTCTCATAAGCGTGGTTCATTGCTGTCACAAAGTCATCAACGGGCACCGACTTTTCATCATCTCGTCCCTCGAATACCGGTAGTTTGCGCTCGGGTGCCATCACGACTTGGGATGGTTTGGCTACGAGCGCACGCAGGAGCTCCTCTGATGGGGACTCGGTATGGGGCGGTTCTGTTTTGATCTCGGCTCTGGTAAGCGGTGTGTACTCTACTACTTCCCATCCCCCCTCTGGCGGGAGAATGGCCCCATTCACAATTGGCAGAATCAGTTCATTGTCCTGGTCAATTTTGTGAATCAGCCCGGTTGCATCAGGGTAACACCCTTTCAGGCTTTGGAGAGGCAGACGCCCTCCAACCAGGCAAAATTTCCTCGCCTTTTCTTCTGTTAGTGACCGTACGCTGACGTGGGTTGCCATCTCGACGACTCTGAATTCAGTGACGGATCCTCAATCCCCCGCTGCTGGCAGACTGGCTGAAAAAAGAGATCCCACTTCTGACACTTGTGGGGGGGGGGGCTGTTTGGTCAGCTGTGGTGATTTGGTAAAGAACACAGCAAACACCCAGGATTCGGATCTCTATATGTGATGTTTTATTTCAGCCACTGAAGTTGGTGTGCAGCGGACAGGCCAACAGCGGAGGCGATGGCAACGTGAGGAATGCCAAGGCCGCCGCAAGGTGGCGCTGTTGCCGCACACCGTTAAACTTACAAGTGCATCGTAACTTACAAGTACGTCCGACATCCCTCACAATCGGAACCGTCTTAGGAACCATAATTATTGTCTGCGAGATCTTCTTGACAAAATAACCAGTGTGGTCGGCCAATGTCCGTTGCTCATCAAGAACGACTCCGAGATTATTGCTCCGAAATTACAAACGAGTGGAATTATTAAACAACACTTTTGTGTCTGTTCTGATATTGACAATGTTTGTTTTGCATATTTGCCAGTTTCATTACAATGTGGTTAACCTTTTTTTTATCAGAATATTGTGATATTGGAGAACAACAGGATATACCTTACATGACAACAGTGGCTCAGATCACCATTTAAGCTGATTATCGAAGTCAACGATTCTTACCTTCTACCTGTTCATTTTGTAACTTTTATTTAATTTATATTTTTTATTATCGATGTACATTTTCCACCAGATTTGGATTTCGCTTGCTATTCGTTAATTGGCCCCATTTTCTCATCCAAGGAGGGGAAATTTATCAAACCTTCATCGGAATAATCCAAAGAAAGTAAAGAAAAACCGATTACAAAATCATAAATTATGGACCGAACTCGCACGATTAAATTATCAAAATGTTCTGGGTTATATAACTTATCACTATTGTGTTGGGGAGGGTTGAGGGCGTATTCGTGAATTTTTGCACCTTCTTGCGAATTATCCGACATCGGGTCCAATCATTCTTTAGAATTTTTCGATCAAAATGTCATTTTGATTTTGTAAAAAAAAAACCGAACTATTTGAAAATAGAATTACTTCTGTTTATTTTACGCCTGCACAATATGGGCCGAGTCCATGCGCAACTTATGGAAGTGTACAATGTAGATAGGACATGGTTAAAAATAAAACTAATGCGTACGTACGAATTAGATTTATTTTTAACCATGTCCTATCTACACTTCCATAGCAAATATACAACATAAACAATAAATTTGTTTTGTTTGGGGGCGTGTAGCGCTGAGGCCAAACGGGCATAGAAAGCCACACACCTGTTTTCCTTTGTCAGGTGTTTTTTAACTTTTTTTTTTACTTTGACAAACGTGTATTATATCCCACGTGGCCGCTTTTATTATCCAAACACGGATCCCATGACCTTCGGAAATCGTGAGTCGACGAAAGCACAAAGTGTAAGCTCAGCACGGATACTGAGTTTGTTTAAGCGATTGGAAGTTTCAAACGTCTAGCTTATTTTGTCAAAGGGATTGCAAAACGGCAGATTTGTTGACAGAATCACCCCCCAAAAATTGGATTTCTATAGCACCGTAATTTTGACGTTTTGATTGGGAATTGATTATTTGTAATTAAAATATAAGCAATTTAAGTTTGGAAATTTAAAGAAAATAGAGGGTTAAAATGTTAATCCGTTCCGGTATGAAAATAAATAACAACGATGTGATCAATTTGTATTAATTATTTTATGGAGATATACCCCGTTGACTGATCAAAGAAAAATAATGAAACAGACCTGAAACCAGGAGGTGAAATTGAATTTTCAATTCGTTCAATAAATGTCACCAGATGTGTTGTATTGAATCAACTTTATAAATTGTAAACTGTTGAATGGAATTGTGCCAGACTATTTATACATTCTAGCCTCACTTTCATTTTTTTGTTAATGTGGCTTGAAACATTAGGGCATGTTTAATCACAAATTTTACATTATTTATCAGAGCATACTGGTATTAATTTGTAATTAACAGTGTGTAATTGCTTTCATTTCTCTTCGCGAGTTCCAAAAAATGAAGAGGTTACCTCGACTTTCAATTCAATATGGCCGACTCATGAATAAAGCTCATACCGTTTTCACAGTGACTATACATATCAACAAGGGCACACAAGTAAATCAACGACTGGGAAGCCAGTCTAAACATTACAGGGTGTAGTGAACTAAATCAGGTGAGAATTTCTACGCGAACACAATATCTTTTAGAAAAAGAGATCGTTTGGCTTTAAAAACTGTGGAATTGTGTAAATATAGCCAGGAATCAACTCCCTGATTTTTGGGCTTCCATCTGAGGGCAGGCTTGATAAATTTTTGGTTGAAAAATGGGTCCTATTTGCCTGAGAAACTGGAAGGATGCCACTTGTAAAATGGCTACATGCAGACTTGGGAACTACCACTTTTCGGGAGGTGATTTTGTTTTGGTGTGAATATTTTAAAAATGTAATCGGCTATTCTACCCAAAATTGAAAAGAAATGAAAACATAAAGGACAAGACAATAATTTAATTTTGGTTTGAGAAACCCCAGTGATGTCGGTTTGCATGTTATTTGGCCCTGAACTTTGTTAATTTGACACTGTTTTCAATGGGGCTTGAATTGGTTCAGTGCACGTAGTACACGATCAACCACGGTCGTCGCCTTCTCTCGCCCATAGTTTAGGTTATCGCTGCCATACGTGCCGTCACGACTAACTTCCATCTACACAATAAATTAGCATCATCGGTGAATTATATTTTACTCCTTCATAATTTTAGTTGATCTGCCTTTCCATCACCGATCGTAGAGTAGGCTTATCATGAGGCGCTTTCGGATCAAGCTTCCCCGACTGTTTCTCCTAGCCCTTCCGGTGATAATGTGTGTCGTCGTCATACTAGGCTACGCCGCTCTGTCAGCACTAACAACAACAACAACAACAAGAACAGTAAGTGTTTCTTCCCTTTTGCTGGATGAAAAAAAACCCCAAAAATGAGCAGGAACTGCCGGCGATCAACGAATCGAAATTTGTCTTTTGATACAGTATGGGTGAAACAAGGTTTGTAATCCTTCAACGATTGCATTAAAATATTACATCGCATGGCTCTTTAAACTCGTTAGACAACCCTTAAGATAACAGTAAGGTTTAGTTACGAACACATTCTGTTCCACTGTTTTATATTTTGCTTCGTTGATCTTTTCCTGATTAAACACCGCTCATGCAGGAAATTCAATCCCAATTTCAGTATAGGAAGTGGTTTTTCAAAGAGGAAAAACAACAACATGATTTTTGGGGTGAAGAGGTCGTTTTGTTGACTAGAAAAACGGATTAACAATGGTCGCGCCGAAAGGTTGCGCCTCTGCTGCTTTGCGCTTTTCCAGCGAATTTTGTCACTCAAATTGTTTTTACACCAGCTGATTCATGATTGATATGGACTCTTCTTGACCGTTTTCACCATCGAAGATCACCCTCATTTTCAAGACTCGTCACATAGATTTTTGCATGTGAGTCCATACAAATTACAATGAACCACCATGTTTTTTACACAGCAGGTGAACCACTAATATACAAATGTACACGTTTTACATCACGGCATACGTGTATCGTCTCCATGCACCGATGACTTTGACCCTGTCTCTTCTCAGCAGGGCAGGCTTTTCCCTATGTGTATCAGAATTCAGTTTCAGTATGACAGAGCTGAACTTTCCCAAGGACTCTTACCGTAGCATTTCTATTACCGTAGCTTTTACCGTAGCATTTCTAAGGACTCTTTCCGCTCTGGTGGTAAACATTAACCTCCAACAGTGCAACTACCAAACAGTGGGGATTTTTTTTTTAAGTACAGGCTCCCCCATGAGGTGTATAAAATACAAGGTGCGTCAAGTTCTGCATGTAGCACTATCAAAATCTAGGATATGAAAGCCCAATTAATAAGCTATGTTTTAGTACAAGAATCATTCAAATCACTCATGCACTTTTCAAGTTACGTAATGTTAAACACAACTACTGTTTTAAAGTTCTGTCCACGGATCACAAAAAAGTGTAAGTGTTCTTTCAGCATGCGTTCGGATGTGTCTTTCTATTATCTCCCAGACTAATCCCCGCCCCCAATGACTTTGGATAATTCGAAATCCGTTGTGGACGGACCGGGAACCAGTCTATAGGTCTCCCCAACTCTCTTGTTTTACTAGGCCTCTAATTGGCGGCTATTCGCTGTTGGCTGGTGGAAATAAATGAAAATGAAATAAAATGTCCCACATTTTGATCCCCAATACGGGATTTCAGAATTACATGTATCTTCCCCCCCCAAAAAAAAAATGTGTAATGAAGCCCCCGTGTCTTGCCCGTGGTACTCCCCCCCCCCCCGCCCTGCAAACAGGACGCTGGGAAGGGCTTGATTGACGCTCTGATTGGATAGATATTGCGTGACCTGTGACCAGCAAGTCATCACACGGCCGCAACCCTGCACGGTTTTAAGTGGCCGTCAAGACTGAACAATGAGTCATTCATCACTCTTTTATACCCATTCATAAATGCCCTTTCTTCGTTGAAAAGCGTAATAATGTAGGAACATCTGTAAACGTATCTGTTTTGTATATTTTCAACTCCCGTCAGTTGCTCAGGCTCCGTTTCGAATTCACGAAGGGTTATACGACGCTCACAATTATTGTGTCCACATGGTCCGCAATGAAAAAGAAATCACATCCAGTATATGGAATGTATGCATTTCTATGAGAAAGTTTTCGGATAGCATTTGCGCGCATGGATACATGGGCTTCGCGGGGGGGGGGGAGGGGGCGCCCCCCGAATACGAAAAAAAAAAAGGGAAAAGAGGTTCGAAGCCACATTGCTGTTAATTTGATGGGGGGGGGGGGGGGGGGGTTAGGGCAAATGTTCCCCTGCTCACGCTTGGAAAAATGATAAATTGAGAGTATAAATAATGAAAAAGTAAAGGAATTTTGGGGAAACATTTGCTTTGCCCCCCCCCCCCCCGAAAACTCCTGGCGATGCCCATGATTGGACAGCCGCGGTCTTAACAGCTGCAGACAGATGCTTTATACTTAGCTCATGATAAGTTTCCTAGAATGCCATGATCCCCATTTCCTTCACAAGATTCTGTGAAGCTCATCAGCCCTTCCCAGCGTCCTCTATGCAGGACGGTGGGTACGAGCGAATAAAAATAGACGAAGTCCTGCTCAATGAAATTTTTCTCGGATAGTATTGAATAATTATTGCCTAAGCTGTGTTAGTCAGTTTTATAAAGGCCTAGTGTCACAGATGAAGCTAAAAGCTTTCAATATATATTATACATGCCCGTGCTAGTCTGCACACCGCCTTTTTTGCATATTATATTAATATTAGAAACCAGCCAGCGCGGCACTTTTCCAGATGGTCCCTAACGCAGGGCCAACCAATTTGAATACATGTACATGTATTGACAATTTGACATGCACAAAGCTTTTGTTACCGCGTGTACGCCATAGAATGCCATGATCCCCATTTTCGATGGTGTATACATAAATAGGCCAAAAAAAAAAAAATCTTTACACATATAGAGTACAAGCATTCATGTAAAAATGGCACCGCTTTTTGCAACAATTTCAAATGCTTAGCTGCTTAATTGACCGCAGACAGGTTTTTGAGGATGGTTTCCAGTATTCCTTCACACGTTAAGGCTTCTGTAAAGGATTTTTATGACATTGAGTTTGTTGTAATTTGTATTCATTTTCAGTTTCATTTCCACAAACAAACAAAACAAAAGATACGACCCTTTCCAAATGTAGGAAAACTATTGTTCTCTTGAATTGAATATACAATGTGCTCATGTTATAGTCACGCTATCTTCGTTTAAATTTAAGTTTTGTGTCGTTTTTGTCGACCATAATTATTGCTGTAGAATAAATGATTCGTCTTTGTGTCGTTTCCGGACAGATATTTTTAGCTCAATTCCCAGAAATCAAGACAAAGACAGACAAAAATGTACACATATTTCCAGCGTGAAATCTCTTGAAAGTTACATCAAAAAACAGTGTTGTTGATCTAGGTTACCGGGTTTCGTTATTACGCGTACGTCTGTCACTTTAGCTTCTATCAAACAAAATTATATCCGTCTAGCTTCAATTGCATTTTTTCATGTCAATAAAAGTCATCTCTTATTCACAATTGAAGTTAAAATCCACAAAGAGTTAAGTAAGCTACACATGATGCTTTTTAAAAGTAAAATACAAAAAAAATCAAAAGCGAAACGTAGACTAAACAAAAGAACAAGACATGAAACTGGGAAGGGAGACACGAACAGATTAATAAGACAACAAAATGAATAAAGTAAAAAAACAAGCAGACACAAGAGTATCAATGACAAATTTCTTATAACAGTTATGTGAACAAAAAAACGACAACCATGATTTGTTTTATGACGATTATGTCTTTGTTACATTATGTCCGACATACGTAAGTTTCATGCTTTCCATTCAGTTTGTGATCATGTGCCAACATGTCGCTAATAAATGCCAGTGGTTCGTCGAAATTGCAGCGCCACGTAGAGGAAAGACGCACACACTTTCATCTGAAAAACATCATGTACATTTTGACAGATTCAGTGAAATACATGCCACCGGAAGAAATTAAATACCTTCGTTTTTATTTCATTCACCATTTGTTTTGTGATTTAAATTCGACGTTTTCATAAAAATGTTGTTTTAGATCCTTGTCTGCTTTCCATTTCCATGCCATCATCGGTAAAAAGCGACAACTTAAGTCTGATTTTTTTAAAAATGTTTCCCAGTTTCCCCAAACATAGTCACGGCATTTGAATGAGACAAAACATTTTCATTATCGGGTTGACGAGTTATTGCGAATAGGTGTGCGCACGTGCGTACATAATACATGTACATATACATGTACATGTGTGTACATGTACAAATTGTACTCACATTTTGATCGGCCTACTTCTGTGTGTTCTGAAAAAAAACTCACCTTTTCATCTGATGCAATAGTAGGAGAATACAAAAACAAAATAGTAATGCATAGTTTGGGTCGAAACAAAGTAAAAAGGATGAAAAATTAGACCGTTCAAAAACGGCAAACGGTACGAATCTCGCTCCGGCACAACTATGTCACCGTGCACGGGCGGCCACGTTGGGCCGTCCACTGGAGGCACCGGCCCGGCTTCCGCCATTCGGAAAATCACGCTGCGTCTAATGGGTCAGCGGCAAAAAGCGCCCACACTCACAATCTCTACCGTTGACATTTTGGAGGTATTTCTATACCAAAGTTGTTTGTTTAAAATGATGGCTAGTTTGTTGAAGTTAATTCGTGTAGGCGGCTACGACATGGCGTAGGTATACAAGTTAACCTGGGACGGGTACGATTCGATAGATACGATGTGACTCGGGTACGAGTTGACTTCTGTATTCGCTTCCCGAATAAATATCATCAGGCAGGTAGGCCTACCGTAACTAACGTGTGTTGGGCGCGGCATAAACGTTGTTGCGCTGACAATAAACGTCGGTGGATAAGTCGTTCTTTCTTGAACTATCCTAATCGCAATAACTCGAAAATGGCATCATTATATAGATACAGTCTTTTCTACATGGTGTCTTTCATTTGTTCAGGGAAACTGGAGAAATGGTTTTAAAATTGGATTGATTTACGAGGGCTTTGAAGAATTTTTATTGGAAAGATGTGTTTTTTCCCCCCTAAAATATCTTTTTCTTTCAGAATGGTTTTCAGATTTGGACAATCTCAGCTCATAATGTGATTGTAATATTCATTTTTTTTATGTTCTCATAAATGTTCATGAGTTTAGTCTGTCTGTAACTGATGGAAATTATGTGATATTTTTTTCTGCTGGTATTCAACGGGTGTAATATACGTCGTCTGTACAATTTCAGAATAGTCAGAATCTTTTGGTCTGGGAACCAGACTAACTAAGTGGTGCATAAGTGCATTGGCACGAACATAATCCTATATCATTGCCTGCGATCGTAAGTCCCAATGGGATGTAAGTCCCAATGCATTTGAACAGCGAACAGGTGCTTGGTGAATTTTTTTTAATTTTTTCTTATAAATTATGTCCATTGTTCAGAACAATAATTATGTTGACCACATACTGTTGAAGGAGAGAACATTTTATGATGCATGCAGAAATTTGAATAGTTTAGTTTATTTTATATATCAGAAAAAAAGAAGATAATCAAGGAATAAGCAATAATGTATTTGACCAAACCTTAAACACAGCTCATCGCCAAGATTTTGTTTTGGCCGGGGGGGGGGGGGGGAGGGGGGGGAGGGGGGGGGGGGAGGGAGAGAGCTTTACAATTATTTGTTTGTGGATTTCAAAAGAAATATTAGCTCCCCAATCAAATGTGTTTATACCGACGCATTTACACTGTATACTCAGTGTGTTGCCGCCGAGTGAAAGTTGAAAATAATCACTCGAATGGGACTCGAACCCACGACCTCCTGCTTTCTAGTGCAGACGTCTTGCCACTCCGCCACCGAGCTTGCGGGATCGGGTGGCTGGTTCGAATCGGAAGTATAGCAGCGGGTACCGTTGCGGGCAATGAAACCATTTATAAGATTGACTGTGCGTGGGGGGTGTAAAAACATCAAGTTTGTTTTAATATTGGGCAAATTAGGACCGAGTTATTGGGATTTTTGGCTGTCCCCATCGCGTCTTTAGTCTGGTTCCCATAATATCTCGGGACATCACCTGTGTAGTCCCCACAGTAATGTGTGTACAAGCATTACATTCACTGTGTGGACTTCCGAACAAAAGAGGTCCACATAAACCAGGTAGCAGCGACGTTGTGTGGACTTGCCCACGTCCACACAGTGTGTCCCCCTCTCTGGAAAACAGGTTGAGATGCATTTTTTGGTAATTTATCCGTGGCAAAATGAAGAGAAACACTAAAGGGAATCATAGGAAAAAATTGTTTAAAAAATGTTCACAGTGTGAGTAAAAAAAAATTTTATCACAGGTTTTTCTTAACTACACGAACAAAAAATAATAGAGAATGTATGTAACGTAAACATGTATGTGTGTACGTGCGTATCCGCTTACTACACAAACCAAACAAAGACCCAGACTTGGGTCAAGTCTGCTATAGCTGCGTACGGGCGTGGAGGCAGCCGCTGCTTACAAAAGCCACTGTGTTTCTATATCAACGGATTGTTTCTAAGCAACCCGGAGGGTGAAACGAAGCGACTAGGCCAAGGTTGACGAGATGCTTGCAAACACACCACACTTACTTTTGTAGATGTCAAAAAAATTATTTGCGACGTGTTGAAAGCCTGAAATGGAGATATAGCCAGACAAAAAGCCTGGGTTTTGTATTCAAATTTAAGATTGTCTTTTTGCAAAAATTGTTATTCTAAATAAATCTTCAATTTACTGTAAAAGTGTCAGTTCATCAACCGGAGAATTGCATAACCCAATTTTTTTTTTTTATCTGGCAATTTATCTGAAATTGCTCACAGAATGACACACAAGACTTTTTCAACAACTGTCAACAACTGGAGTAGGCCTGCACAATATCTTTAATAACCCCTTAAGCACGGGTTATAATGGGGACATTCCTCCACACATAAAGCAAGTGGCCCGCATGACTGCACTGCCTTTGTGTGGTAGCGGGACTACCCACTAGCCGTGTGCCACGGCATACCACAGCTGGCAACTGCATTTCCAATGAGGATTAGCGGCCGCGGCCATGACTGCTTCCCGGGCCCATTTAACAACCGTGCTTCAGTAGGCAAACAATATGATTTATACAATCAGCTTTTCTTTTAAAAGCGGGCGTTCAAAGGAACTTTGATATTTTAAACTTTTAAACTAAGGTTTTATCGCTGTGATGTTTGAAGACAATTGTGACGACGATTCGAAATCGCATTTTTGGACGAGAGAGGTTTTAAGGTCGTCGCATTTAAACGGTGATACACTGTGAACGGATTGAGCAATTTCGGTAATTTTGTCATCTAAAATTAGTTTATAAAATTGGCTTTCCAGTCATTATTATTTTTGGTGTTACATACTTTTTTTTTTTTTTTTTTTTTTTAAAATATGAAACATATTTTGGGGGGTTTAGGTTTCGCTTTTTTTTTTACTCATCTGTATTAAAAAGTGCAATTTTAAACAGCTCGGCCTTGAGTTTCTGCATTCACAAATTCGTTTTCCTGCCTGCCTAATTCAGGTTCAAGACACGACTGAGCCCATCCAAATGGTCCAGAAGAAATACGACGTCCATGTCGTCACCCCAGCAGCGTGGCCACGTTTCAACGCCATCCCCACCGCCCGGAACACCAAATACATCGCCCAAGAAGTGCCCGGGCCAGTGGAGAAAGGTTTGCCCGGCAGGTGGCAACATCGGCGGGGTAACGTGGGCATGACTAGCTACAAGACCTCAATCATCTCGCCGACAAGCCCAGCAAATGTCACGGAAGGGGAGGTACAGAGAGGGACATGGGCGTCGCGAGGGGGGGGGGGGGGGGGGCAAGGTTAAAAAAAGGAGGAAAAGTAGTCCCTGCCTACCCTCGAAAAATTATAAATCGAGAATATGCTGGGGAAAATTCAGGGATTTTTTTGGGGGGAAGTATGCTTTGCCCCCTCCAGAAAAAAATCCTGGCGACGCCCATGGAGAAGGAAACAATGTCTTATCAAATTCGTGCTAATCCACACAATCCATTATGTAGGCTTACATACGGGGAAGATTCAGACGGGGTCAGCCTATACTTTGGGGGGGGGGGGGCTAGCAGGGGTGGTTTCATGATTTTCGGCAGGGAGGCCTGCTGAATTGAAATGGAGACCGTTTTTTGGCCACTTTGGCCTCCAAAAATCAAGACTCGTACCATATTTTCAAATGGGGCGCTGATGAAATCATGAAGTCCTACAACCATGCATACTATACCTCATAGTGTACAAAATGCCCCCTTCTCACAACTATTTTTTTGGAAGGAGAGACCGTTCGCATGTCACCTTCTAACTTTTGCTACTGCCCTTTTGGGGGGATTTTATTGGGGGGGGGGGGGGGCTAGACAAAAGTTTTTGAGCCCCTCAGCTCCCCGTAGAAGGAACCGCGCCTGGGAAGATTAATTCCTGTTAAAATTGAAGTCAAACCTCACTTTGGTTAGGTATGGTGTGTGGTAGTAACCATATTTGCCCATCGTTTTCAACCTATAGAGATTTCGGTTCGAATCCCACCAGGTGCACCATATACATTTGGTGTCAGTTCCCACCTTCTCGAGTAGGTTTCCCTCAAATTTGACCTCTCTTGGGTGGACCTCTCTTGGGTGTACGCTTAATGTTTACAATTTTTCTTCGTTGTCATTCCTAAGACATGAAACGATTGCATTCCAGTAAGTTGAACGGACAGCGCCATCCAACATTGGCAATATCAAAAAAATGGCAAAAAACTTCTGCACAATAATGAGATTTGGAGTTATTTATCGATGTTCCTATCAAAATGACTTTGTATTCGTTTTTTTTTCTATCAATGCTCAGATGTTTCGAATAATGATTGAGGCTCGTGACAAGTCCAATCAACCGCGGACTATGGGCGGGGATTTCTGGTACGCAACCCTCGCCACCAAAGGGGGAGGCAGCACGTCGGGCCGAGTGCTGGACCACGCCAACGGCTCGTACAGCGTCTACTTCTTCGCTGGCTGGTCCGGTAAGGCTAGCATACACATCACTATGGTGCACCCCAGCGAGGCCGTGGATTATCTCGTGCAGACGGTTTGGAACGCCTACGACCGCATCAACTGGCTTGGCAGGTTCGAGGACGGTGTGAATAAGTCCACCACTTCCTGTGTGCTCAGACGAGGAGGACCTTGGACTGGGAAATGCGAGCTTTCGCACCCGTACGCGCTGGGGAAAACGGTGCTCCTCTGCGGCGAACCCGCGCACGGACTGAAATGCGACTCGTTGGTGGCAGTCTACAATAACAACACACGGATCCGCGAGAGGGCGCGCGAGCTGTCCAAGGGAAGAGGAGACTTATTTCAAGGGTGAGTAAAGTGGGAATCATAGGGGCTTGAGTGACTGTGAAGTTTCACTAATTTCACGGTCCATCTATTTCTGCGACCTTGTTTTCCCGTTTGTTGATAAAGGCTATTTTCGTGTAGATACTTCATATATGTAAGTGTCCGCGGTAAATAAATAAATAAAGAAATCAGTTTCTATTTGTTGGTATTCTTTGTGGGATGAAAGTACTAGGGGAGTAAGTAACCAACATGCATTTATACAGCCGTAGATGCAGCCAACGTCTTTGCACATTTTGTTGTACATTATTCACCTTTCTGTGGTTTGACACATTTCTCATTCATAAAACCGACAACACTTCTCAATGGCGTATTTCCGGACCATTGACAATGGGCACGCGAGTGCGTACACAGGCTTAAGATTTTTTTTCGAATGCCCCCCCCCCCAACTGTTTTCCCCCCCCCCCCCCTATTTGAACCAGTCAAGGTCTCCCCTAACTCTCCTTTTATGCCTCGAAGGAGTACCTGTGCACGGAGCCCATACAGTCAGACAGCAGAAGGGTTAATATTTTTTGGTCTCAAACAATGTTGTTTTAAAATCTCTTATTTCATAGCGAATACTACTCACGTAGACTGAGCACGAAAACCATCGAAATCGCGAATGGTAAGTACATTCAGTATGGTTGTGACAATAATCGGTTCTTTATTATAGCGCCCTCTAGCTGTCGTACTGCATTTTGACTTCTTTTCTCACTTCACTGGTTACCCGAAGGGGTACAAAAAATGTAAAAAAGGAAAGTCTGTCACAAGACCAATATCAAGAATATCTCTCATCAGGCAGGCGTTTATCTCCGGTTTCCTTGCCATGATACGACTGAGAATATCTATACCCCCCCCCCCAAGATGTGGTGGGATGCCAGTCCATCACAGGTTACTCTCATGTAATGCCGGTATACCCATTTATACTCCTGGGTGGGAAAGAGGCATCCGAGTAAAGTGGCTTGCCCAAGGACACAACATAATGACCAGTAGCTTGATTCGCTCCCCTGAATATCTGATCATGAGTCGCGAACCCTAACCATAGACCACATACCAATATGAGGCAATATATGTTTGCAGTGTATCAGTATAGGAATTAGAAAATTTATGATCGGCAGTTTTGAAAAATTGATGGAAAGTTTATAGAGAGTGGTAAGCATGTCAGAACAGTGTTGAGAACATAAATATTATTTGTGGGGGAGGAGAGTTCCAATATCGATCCCCAAGATTTTACTCAAAAGAGCGGTGGAAAGTAATAAGAAAGGGAACGAGTCCAGTGTGATTCATAATGATTGTTTACCCTTAAACACAATGTTTTACAAGGTGTGTAGATGTGAAATGAAGTAACAAGCTGTTACATGTGTTTTTATTTCGACAAAACATCAACAGACTCAAGAAAAGACCAGCTTCTGAAACAATTACCCGAGTGCGAACCGGACCAGCCTAAACCTCTCAGCTCGGGCTACTGGCGGGACTCTAAAACATGGGTATCCTTAGCCTGCCGAACCAAACAGTGGAAGGTGCCCAGGGACATCGGCAGGTGTCTGGTGAATAAGACGGTGTACCTGCTTGGCGACTCCACGTCTCGTCAGTGGTATGAGCTCCTCTCGGGAATGCTGGGGGTTCCCTTCGTCAGGAAGGACAACCTGGAGCAGAACAACATCTACCGACACTTTGATGAATTTAACTTGACCACAGTTTTTAAATTTCATCCGTTGTGCTTGACAAGAAACCCCAGACCCACACCCTTCAACCTTTTCAGTTTCGAGGTGGATGTCCTGGACGCCTTAAAAGACAAGAGTTGCAATTATGTCATCTTGATAAGTCCTTGGGCGCACTACCCTCAGTGGACTAAAGACATGTTTCTGGAACGAGTTTCCCTGTTACGGGAGGCTCTTCTAAGATTCCGGGCTAGATGCCCCAATGCTCCAGTCGTTGTCAAGGGCTCACACCCTAGAGATCAGCCAGGCTTAGAAGGCCGAATATTCTACAACAACTTCATGCTGTATCAATTGGGCAAAATCTTGCGAGAAACTTTTCAAGGAACGGCAGCGTGGTTTTTAGACATCTGGGACTTGAACATGGCCTACCCAGCCTCAAAAATGGTGCACATGCCAGAGGAAGTCGTCAAACAGGAACTTAGTATGTTTTTGTCCTACGTGTGTCGTAAACTTCAGTAGAACTCATCGGAGTTTAAAAGGATCAACAGTTTTTAGCAATAACTGTAAGGTAACGTTTGTTATCGCATATTAAAACATACCACGTATACGAGAAAAGTGTAATTTTTTTGAGTTTTTACAATTGGCGACCCTTTTATCGAAGCTCGGGACGATGAAGATAATTGGTTGGTTAAATAAAAATGCTTAAGAGATTACCAACTAGAAAATACTCAAAGAGCGCACTTGACCTCCGCCAAGGCTAAACAATTCCCCAATATATTGCTAGTATAGGCCTACATCCAACGAGAGGAACTTTTAACATGCCCAATCATGTTCTGAAATCAAAGGGCAGAAAGACTCTGTATTTATGTGTATTGTTCACTTGTTGAATACAGAATTATCAAAATTGTGCATTAAGCAGAATTGTGCCATTTCCATAGGGTCACTGTTTACGTACATTAAGGTCTTAAACAGGGGCTCGCTAGCAATGACTTTAACATACACGGCCTGTCACTTGCACTGTGTGTACAGTATATGGCCCAGAAATGGACGGGTCAATTAGGGTTTTTCGGGGGGGGGGGCGGGAGGGGTGCCCCAGTTTCATGGTCTATGGCATATTTGCACATACAAAAGGTGGAGAATCCTTTAAAAGATCCTGCATCTGGATCACGTCCAAAATCTGTAGTGGGTCATCCGTGTACCAAGGACCACCCCTACACAAATTTTCATGAAAATCTGTCTACAACTTCTTGAGTTATCCTGCTCATAGACAAACCAACCAACCAACACCGGTGAAAACGTAACCTCCTTGGCGGAGGAAATGATGTACATTGCTTTTGTTTGCTGCCCATAATTATTTTGTTTAATTATCTGTACTCAATTTGTAAAATAAAAGTATGGTTTCCTAAGTTTTTTGCGAATGAATTACCGCTTCATGGAAAGAGAAAGTATGAAGCCAGATTAAACTTCGTTTGAAGGCCAATAAGCGAACGTCTTTTCAGTGTCGTTATCTTTTTCAAAATATATTCTGAATTGCCCCCAAAACAGATTCGCAAAGATCAGTAGGATATCCAAATTAAAGATGTTTAGAAAGTTACTATACAGGGCGAGTAAAAAAAAAACCGAGACCCAAAAGGCAGGAGCAATTTTTGAATGAATGTTTTGCCTGTACCACTTTCAAAATCTAGGATATGAAAGCCTAATCAACGAGCGTTCTTCTAGTACAAAAATCATGCAAATAATTCATGTACTTTTCAAGTTACGGAACTTTGAACACAGACACCGTTTTTAAGTTCTGTCCACTGATAACAAAAAAGGAAGTGTTCTTTTAGCAATTCGAAAACATAATCACATGCATTCACATTTACATGCATTCCTATGAGAATTGTGAATGTCATGCCAATGCGAAGCGAAATTCGTTTACAAGTCGTGATGTTTTTAATTAGGTATTTTGAATGGGCATCATAAATAAAGATTCATAAAAATCAGTATATAATATATATCTAAATTAAAGATTTTAAGAAAGTAAATGTAGAAACCCCCCCCCCCCAAAAAAAACCCCGGCCTCTCATCTCCCCTTATAGCCGTCCTTTCCACACCATATCATTTCGTGATCGATAACTAAAATCTTTACGGGTATTCATCACAAAATATGCGTTCCTTCGATCTCAGACTCACAACTCTGGCTAAATTAAAATTTTCCATCAACTTCACTGAGCATTCTGAATGGATAGGAAAAAACTCTACAGCAACTCATCAAGATCAGTGGAATACCGAAATTACAAATATTAAAAAGTAAAACAATTTTTTTTATCACAGAATTAAGCACTGGCCTCCCATCCCCTCACCGCCGTCCTTTCCACATCACCGTGTCGGTACAATGATTGCAGTGTTTAAAACGACTATGTAACTGTTCATGATCGCAGGCGCGGATCCATTGGGGGGGGGGGGGGGGGGATTCAACACCCGCTGCTCTGACACCCACATATTTTTACTGGTAATAATGTCCGCCTTTGCACAAAATACGGTCAGAGCAAGCTTGGTTAGGGATATGTACACTGTTCTGTGATATAGTGTTAATAATCGACGTGTTAAACAGCGCCGCCCATTACAGAACCGAGCCCAATCTAATGCATTTTCTCGAACCTCAGTTTCTGAGGCTCAAGCCTAATGAAGCATGTAGCTTTGCAGCGGATTTCCTATAGTCTCGGGTCCGAGACGCTCCTTGTGTTTTTTTTCAACGAGCGCACAATCAACCCAAAACCAGATAGATGTTTACAGTATGGTTACATTTTGACAACAGACCTAGGAAAGCCTCCTACATGTATATGAGAGCAAGAATTATGTACTTTACTGTCTAAACAGATGTGACAGCGACCCATGATAAAGATGTTATAATCTGCCATTCACCGCCTCCATTTCGAGGTCAAAGGGTCAACAAGTTACAAACGATGAGGCAGGGGGCGTGGTCAGCATTGTTCACTTTCCAAAGAAATTCTTATCAAGGAATGTGCCCACAGGTGGTGCTTCACGCAACCTCACCCCGACAACTCATTACAGACAATCACCAAAGGCTGAAAAATCAATACACGACACCGTAGCTAGCTACATGTTAAAAAGAGGTTTTCAAATTATGAGAGCTGTTAAACTTTGGAAGTGTATATTTAGCCAGCGCCGGCTAAATTTAGGTGGAACCAGACTAAGATTTGTCAAGGTAACAATTTCTAAGTGGCCCCCAAAAAAGTCACTGCGCATGTTCAGTGCTTAGCCGGCAAAATATCGTTTACTTAAATTTAGCTGGCGCCGGCTATAAAGTATACACTGCCTTAAACTTTCAGTTGACAGAGTATGAATTCGGGGTATAGGCCTATATTTCAACTAAAAACCGCGATTTGAGGAATCAAATAAAAGGTTCTAAAATTAGCAATGATTGGGCCATTTAACCATGGACACAGGGAAAAATCAATGAACCAGCTAGCAATGAAAAATAACTCTGCTACATAGATTAGTGTCAGTTCGTTTTCAAATCATCTACACACAAGGAAAAGATAGTTATGGCAATGTGCATGTTAATAAAACAGCAAGCTATGAAAATGATAAAATAATAGGCCTATTTCCTACAAATTTCCAGCTCATTTTTTTGAAATCTCTGAGTCTGACACAAGGCAATTGCTATTTTGGCAATAGGGTATGTGAATAAACAAGCTGCGATTGAAAATGATACAAAAACGTTACCTACAAATGTTCAGAGTTTTTTTTAAAGGTTCACTTACCTCAGAACTTGTTTTTGACTTACCGGTGTCCATGCACTTGTTGTTGACTTACCGGCCGGGTGTCAATTCAATTCTTGTCGAAGTACAAACCTCTCCGAGGTGCATTCACAAATTCCACAGACACAATTCCACACAGGCAGCTAAATAAATCCACGGCACAACAGTTTGGTCCGAGATGTTTCAGTTCACAATGTCACGTGCATATTCTTGGCAATGTTAGTTCAGTGCAAGTTTTCTTCTCAAGAGCAGAACTAACGTTTGGAGTTCCATTGAATTGTTGACATGTCCGGTTCATTTTTTCACGAAGTTTGCTACAAGTTCAGTTAAAGCTTTTGTTCCATGATACATGAACTTCTACTCACGACAATTCCACGGACTGAAGCCCGCAAACTGAAAAGTCAGGCAGGCTCAGCTTAGCCCCGGCCCAGGTTGGACGACGTCTTCATTGCATAACGTAGTGCGGTAAGAGAGTCCACCTGGGCTAAGGTGACCTCGGAGTTCAAGGAGTAAAAGTTGCATTCCAACGGTCGCCCGGAGAGCGTAGTGGAAGTCCGACCGTGCACGTCGAGGACAGTCATACTCATACAGCTTGCCCATGTCTCCAACAAATACTCCCCTAGCAGCACGACTTAAATAAAACCGAAACGAGAGTCATAATGCGTTGAAAAGGTGCTCGTTTTTGTAAACAACCGACAAGAGCAGCCATTCGGTCCAAATATTTGACTACAAATAACGACTTCAAAATGCGCGTTTTCACAGAAAGTACACGATAAGTGAGTGATACGGCCGGGTATGCATTTTACACGGAAATGAAGGACTTTGTTGATATGTACCTACGCGGTTTGGATGATCCCATTCCGTTTTACATAAACAGGCAAAAAGAGGGGGGGGGGTGGGGTCATACCATTATTTGTCTTTTGACAACTAGTACTACCTTCGACAGCGCGCTCTATTTTCTTCGGCGCGGAGAGATATCAAGCAGAGAGCGGCCGATTCGGCCGTGCGCGCTAAAGAGAGGCTGCTATTGGTTGGAAGTGGAACGCCAGGTGTGGAATTCCAATTTATGCACATTTTACTTGTTGACTAGAGCTTTTGGTGTTTTCGAAACTTGGCCTCGACTCCCGGTTCGGCTGAAGGACATTTTGGGCCCTTGCTTTGGGGACACCGCAACAAAATGGGTTCATGATTGTCTTTCTGCATCAGGAGTACTAACCCAGATTATTAGGCCGATTATTTTTCCATAATTTTGGTTTGGACTTGGACATATAGGACTTCTAAATGATTCTAGAAGCCAGCCATAAATCCCACGTTGGAGACAGCAATTCGAAAAAGAACTAATATCCTTGCATGTTGAGTTTCCCAAGTAGGCCACCTGGAATGATTGGATAAATCCCATTTTCATACAGGTCTAAATTAATTTAAAAAATGGTTTGGGTGTTTAACTTTTAATCACAGAGTAATACGTATTTTTTTTGGGGGGGGGGGGGTTCCTGCTTGAGATGGGGGGGGGGTGTTAGCTGCAGGGACGGGTTTAAAGGTGGCTAAATCCAATATTTCAGTATTAATTATTTGTATTTGTTTAGAAAGGTAAAGGAGTTTGACAAAAAGTTCTGGGAAAATGTAAAAATGTGTAGATCAAGTTAAACACTGGATTTTATTCAATCCCTCTTTCTGAAATCTGTATTGAGATTTTCCCATTCATATGTATGTTGTAAACCTTGCACAAATTTAAAAAAAAAAAACCCGACGGCAGCTTGTCACTACTATTCACAAACAAAAGGCCAAAGAAAAAAATAGTTGTGAGATATATACCATTGATTTCAACAATCATGAAAAATTAGATCTTTTTATATTGAAATAAATTACATTTGGTACAAATCCTTTGTTTGACACTTGAGCCTGAAACTAATTGGACTTATGTTCAGAAAAGCAAGAAGGGGGTATGTTTATGTACATATTCAAAGATGGTCACAGTATGAAGGGCGCCACAATTCAAGTCATAAAGGGACAACACAGTCAATGTTTGTTTACTTTCTATTCCTTGTTTGAATGAAGAAATTAACAGTACACTTCATGTAAAAATATTTAATTAAAGGGAATGTACATCATTTGCTTTCACTGCAATTTTCAGAAATAAATGGATTTGGAGGATTAGAATGTTATAGCAAATATTGTTAAACTGACTTCTTTCACGTTTTGGGCTGGTAGATGCTGGAAAAACCAAGAAAACCAATCATGTTCTTGTAGTCTGATTCCCTGACTCCACTTAAGATGAAACGGAGCAATTTATAGACTCTGGGGAATTGTAAGTTCAGAGAATCGGTCTAGCTGGCTAGTACCCCTTCACAGGTGTGTAATCAACTGCAAAGAAGATGAGGAATAACTAAATATAAAAAATTAGGAGCATTTTTTGAAAAAAAGCCAGTTTTCTCCAACACTAGTCCCGACCAGCGCTGGAAAAATACAATTTTTCTTGAAAATGTCAGCACACCAGGAGCCACGATTTTACAGGAAGCTTCAGACTGTCATTCCTTAACAATCCAGTAAGGTATTTCATGATAATTTGATCATTTCATTTTTTGATGTTTGCAAATGTTGTATCTTCCCTTTAAAATAGACAAATTAACAAATGTTGGAAAAGCTTTATCGCCTGCAACTTTTTAGGAAAACGGGGAATTTGTGGCTAAAGCCAAATCTTGAATACCTTGAAATATTGCCATTATTTTGCAAACATTCTCTGAATTTCCTTCAATCCTACCAATTAAAAATGTCCAACAACATCCCCACATAATTATTTGAAAATAGCAAACAAAAGAAGGACACAAATGGAATGTCATTCTATTCAGCTGACAAAAGTGACTGTTTGTTTTGAGCAGATCAGGTTCATGATCACGATCATGATCTGACGTTCGATAGGTTAAAAACAGACATCAAATTGGCTTTTGTGACAATCTTTCTTCATAATTCTTTTAGAGGGTATTTCATGATTAAATATAGTGCGACTGATTTACTTGTTCTGAAAATTACAGAAAGCTTATCATAAAAATAACCCTTCTGCACACAAAATCTGAAGTAGACGACATTCGTGTGCGCCTTCAAGGATTCACCGCCCGCGAGAGTGGTTCTGTTTGTTTTGCACGGTGCTGGATCCAATGACAGGCATGCAACTGGGAACTTAGAAAACAACCAGGAAACTCCACAAACGAGGAAACAACACAAGGCTTTGTGAAATATGTTTCAATTTGCAATTGGCATTCCCGAGAAGTAAAACAAACAAGGAAATCAGCAGATCCGAGGAAAAGCTGCATGCCTGACATAATCTCAATCAGTATCTGGAATGACACAAACAGGCCCTCAAATGCAGACAAACAAAAGAGTTGATGGATGGATCCACAGTCTGGTTCGTCTGCTGCCACTGACGTCTAAGAATATCCGTTCTTCTCGGTCATACATGTTTAACAAAATAAAATAAAAACCTTCCCAGGGGAGCGAAGTAAAAACGGAGTGCCCTCTACATAGAAAACAAGGGTCCCTTGGGCACAAGGTGGCGTCAACTACTTCTTATCCTTGTCTTTCTTCTTTTTCTTCTTTTTCTTCTTCTCTGGTGAGGTTTCCTGAAGAAAAGAGAAATTGAAGAAACAAAATACACAATATTAGACAACACTAAGTTACGAAAAGGTTTATAAGAAAAATCACTTTGCAAAATGTTTACTATACACATTAACTGTTTGTATTAATCTAAGCTTTTACTTTGACCCTTTTGAGCAAAAGTGAATGAAAACAAAATGACCTGATTCTTTTTCAGTTAGCATGTTTAAAACTTATCGCCGTCAGTAATAGATGCACATTTCAATAGATGCATGCGTGTTTATGTTCCATGCTGCAGCCAAGTAACTCGTACTCGGCCAAAGACTTTGGCCTCCAAGTCAACTTTTCTTAAGGCTTTGTTAACTTACTTCCGTTTCTGCTTCCTCCGTCATCGACTCCTCCTTCAACTTCTTCTTCTTTTCTTTCTTCTCCTTCTTGTCTTTCTTCTTTTTCTTCTTCTCCTTGCTGGTCGGCGTAGCAACCTCCATGGCTACCGGCGATGCGGCTGAGCTGCTCTCGGTGCTAGCACTGCTGTCGCTCTCTTGGCGTTTGCGTTTCTTGGCGGGAGTCTCCTCAACCGAGGGCTGTGATTGGCTGGTAGTGGCTTCTCCGTTGTTGGATCCTTTCTTGACACTATACGGATTATAAAAAAGTTGCAAAGTCAAATTAAAATCTGGAAAAAAAATTTACGCAAGCAACAGACAGACATAATGCATGTATGTTTGGCACAGAATCTGTGAGACTGTGGCTTTGTCCAAAATTACTGTGCTAGGGCTGACATAAACACACCAGTCTACTGAAAGTGGATAAAGCTGCTTCAAAAGGTGCATGTGTAATTGCCTGCATTAGCCAACTATTTGGGTGCAGCATAAGTTTCACATAAATATACACAGATATGTTGCAACTCAGACGTGAGGGAGACATCTTAAAATAGTTGCATGGCGACAACAGCACCTCAGGGTGTATTCAAACCCCGTTCTTGAGTGACCCGCAAACAGTGTTTTCAGGTTCCCAATTACGAACGTCCAAGTGTGTGTGAAGTGCAGCTGCAGCCTCGACTCAATGGGCGCGTGCGCATTCCTTCACTAACCCCTGGCCGCGATGTACACGTAAACGATGCTGACTGGCTATTCAGAGCGTACTGCGCGCATTTCGGGTGCTTTGCATGTAACATCACGTTCGAAATTTTTAGTTATTCAAAACTCGCGATGCCTGTATGATATGGATTATGGCAGCCTCGTTTTTCGCTGAAAAAAAAACCCTGTATCTTCGGTTGTAAAGGGATGAAAGAGGTACGTACATTTAATACAAATCTTTGCTTAATAACGCAACGTCCAAACCTTATGTTTCAAAGGATTGATTCTTCAAAATCACAACTTTAAACATTTTAAAGATGGCGTCGGCACGTAAAACGAATAAACTGCAGCCTAATTATAATGTGCCATATTTTGACACATTTAAATTACACAATTCCAGGGGTTGAGATCGCGCAAGGCATGATGGGAAACAACATGACGCAGCAAAATCTCGAATCCATGGGAACGAGGTTGGTGCAGCTGGGCAAAAATTCAAGATGGCAGCTGCCGTATTAAAATGCCAGTTGAAAATTAAGAAGGAATCATTAATGATCTAACGAAAATAATGTAAATCCTGGAACAGTTACAAATATTGGCAACGACAAGCCCACTTTATGACCACGAACAACTTGATTTGTTATCATTTGTTCTCCTGCACTGAATGAGTGCTTTCAATTTTGTGCACAAAACATTAACGCAAGTTGCGGTCGGGCCTAAGTCCGCCAGGTTTGTTCTTGATGCTGTTCATCTACTCCCTCTAACATTTTATGACGTCACCGGTATTTTTTGGGTGAAGTACAACATAGCCACAAACTAACATAGTTGACAGCAAGTCATTCGCAACCCCGTCCTCGCTTTGGTTTAACACAAGAACAGGCTTTCGAAGATGCCCCAAGCGTACTATTTTCCACAGCTTAGGCTAAAGTCATGCAATACGTCAATCAAAAAAATTTATTAATTAAAATTATTTCCCATTCAAATCAACGTCACCAAAATGAAATATAGCAATTATAAAATGAAAATAAAACCCACCTCAAGTCTGTGTAGGAGTTTTTCCAGTCCTCCGGAGTCTGGTCTGTCGGCTTGCCATGTTTGGTCAGCTTACCAGCTTGAATGAGCATCTTCTTCTTGCTAGCCTGAAAGCCATCAGAAACAGAAGAACATATTCTAAAGGACGATTGAGCCACAAAATTCTCTCAGCTGTGACTGAACTGTCGCCAAGAAAATAGACTGGAGTTTGCATACCAACATAGGTGCGCTCTCAGTGTGTGATCAATGCTCCATGCAAGTATCAAATCGAAAAATAACTTTGTTACATCGTGTGCTTGGATACTGTCATTTCATTGGTTGCGAATGGCCACGTGTCCAATCTGTAAAAATGTATATATACAATGCGCAGTGTACTAACCCGTATCTAGCCAAAATACCCTGGAGGGTTTGGGTTAACCCTAACTGCCCCGAATCCTTCAAAATCCTCTTTGCCAAAGTGGAGGAGTTTGGAGGATCGAGGTTACATAGCAAAAGTGCATTACTGATTTCGTAGGATGCACTTTGTCAAGGTCTTGGGCCGGACCTTGTGTTGGTTTTTGCTCAGCCATGCATAAATATAGGCCTGGATTATGCTTGAAATCCTCCATATTGCTCCAGGATGTCACTGGACAGGCCTCAACATACAAATGTATTGACAGTCACTGCCGCAGGATTTTGCAGGATTCTGGCAGTGGTCACTCCTCCACGGACCTTATTCGAGAAATAATGGAGGAATTTGCAGGATTGAGGCTATATGCTATTTTTCCTTGTGGCCAATTGGAGGATTTTGCGGGATTGAGGCTACATCCTAGCAAAAAGGCCTAGGGAGTTAGGGTTAATGTATATCAGATTAAAGTGCTACAGGCAGAACTTATTATCCAAATTTACCAAATTTGAACGGTGGAGCTATTAAAACCAAAACAAAAACCTACCACTGCCCCCAAGCCCCACTTGCGAGGGTAGGTATCCCGCTCCATAATCACCCGCTTCAGCTTAGCAACGATGCCGTGATCGCAGGTTGCCATGACAGCTGTTGTCATCAGGGCAATCGCCAGGGCAACTGCCTCTCCTTTGGTTGTCACTATGACGATTTCTGAGTTGACTTCGATGCCGTCTTCAAATCTCAACACCCCTGGCAGCATGACTTTGGCCCCGTAGCAAATGGCGTTAATCTTTATATAAACAAATACAGATATTAATAGATATCGATTTCTTTTATCGTTGTCACATTCAACTTTTTTGCTTTGTGAAATCTGAATTTATAAAGTGATCTAGAGTGTATTTTGGGTGAAGATAAGTGGCCGAGCTCGCTAGAGTAGATGTTGGGTCATTGAGTATTTGAATTAACTTGATCTTAACAAGAGGTTATTTCAAATAAAAAATGTAAACTCCGACTCCCATCTGAAAAAAGGGAGTGTTGGCTTACACACATCAAATTTAAATATTACCTTAACTTACAATAAAAAAATAATAATAATAATATAGTGCTTATATTGCGCTTTACACCAAAGGTCTCAAAGCGCTTCACAATTATTACCCCTGTTCGTCAGGCCATGAGACCAGTTTCTGCAGCAGCTCAAGATCAGCGCAATCTGGTCTCTACCTTCACAGGTACCCATTTATACTCCTGGGTGGAGAGAGGCAATTGTAGTAAAGTGTCTTGCCCAAGAACGCAAGCATTACGTTCCCCGTCCGGGTTCAAACCCACGTACCGCGGCAAGTGAGCCGAACACCGTAACCATTGGACCACAGCGCTCCACTTATACGCAGTCCTTATGCCAATATCCTGAAGACATAATTTTGAAAACTCTTGTCATCACTCCCTAGATTGGTCCTACTCACAGCGCTGTCCTTCAGTATGATTCTCTTGTGAGATGTGAGCAGCGCCTCCAGGGGTTTGACAACTCGCCTCATGTACTCCTCGTCTTTGTGGTTATCGTAGACCCACTGCGCGTCAAGAACATCGTGCATCGTTACCAGGTGGTCCTGAAGGAAGCAAATCCAGTGCCAGTAATTATAAGTAACAAGTTCTAAGTTGAGTTCCAAAAACAGATAACAACAGTGTTCTCCAACTTTGAAAATTAAAGGTCGGTGCGCCATCAAAAAGCGGAGGGGGGGGGGGCGCTATAATTATATTAGGTGCGCTATTTGCAGTCCTACATTTCTTAATGCTAGGGGGCGCTATTTGCAGATGAAAATGTAAATTATGTACGGATAACAGCTTTTAGGCCATTTTTAACACAGTAACACTAACAATTAAGTACAATACTGGCTCAGCATCATCTTTTTTAACGCATCAGTGACCAGAGACTCTGAGGCAGTTTGGCCTTGAGACTTTTTACCCGATTGATTGCTACAATGGGCAGGCTTGTCAGTTTGACAAATGTTCCATGTTACTGCTTTTGGCAGAGTTTCTGGCCAAAATATACCCTGGAGGGTAAGGGTAGTCCCACTTGTTTGTCGTTTTTATTATTCTTTCCTTTTTTTTTAAGCATGGCGGGCAACTTTTTAAGTTTGGCGGCAGCTTTTGAAGCTTGGCGGGTGCCTCAGAAAGCTTGGCGGGGCACCAGGTTATTTTTACAGGTTGGAGAACACCGAACAAGTACTGAGATGAATTATAACACAGGCAATGAGTTATGGTACTATAACATGTAGAGACCAGTGACGAGTAATTGAATGAAGTACTTGGAAGAGTAATGAGACAGGTAATGAGTAGTAAGATGAGTTATGAGGTAGATTTTGAGTTCCAGTGCAATTATCAAACTGTTAACGAGTTCTAGGCAGTTACAGGTATGACACAGAGAACTTGATGAGTAGTACAGTGATGAGTTTTGAGGTAGGTTTTGAATCACAGTACGATTATAAAAAAGGTTAAAAGGACACTAGGTCCTGGAACAGCCCAATTGGGCTACCAAATGCGCTTTGAACGAGATGATGGTAAATGACAGTCTAAAGCATCCTGTAAAATTATGGCACCTGGTGTGAAGTCATTTTCAAGAAAATGGTATTTTTGTATAAATTTCCAACGGTGGTCGGCAGACCACCGTTGGAAAAACCTAACTATATTTCAACTACTGCTCCAAATTCAACATTTTTTTCAGTCCAAATTTTGTTTGCTATTGGTTACATGTTCATGAATGGGTGCAGGCCAGCAGACTGGTTCCCTTACCTTACAATTTTCTGGTATCTATAAATTGATCCATTTTATCTTTAGTGGAGTCAGGGAACCAGACTACTCCACCATTTGTTTTTCTTGGTTTTTCCAGCATTTCTGAAAATTACAGCAAAAGCCAATGATGTACATTCCCTTTAAGTGATCTTATACAAAAAAACAAACGCTGCTCGTGTCTTGCCCACTTACTTTCTCCGATTGGATGCCCGATCTGTTTCGTCTCAGCTCCGCCATCTGTGCTCCTACGCCCAGCAACAAGCCGAGGTGAACGCATAGTGTTCTGACATAGGTGCCTGCCTCACAGCTCATCCAAAAGATGCCTGCAAGATACCAAGAGAACATCTCAATTTATAAGACCTTTTACCCTTTCCTTACCATGGGCGACTTGGTCGACAAGAAGAACCCCCCTGCTGATTCCCATGGCGACTTTAGTCGACCAGGAAACCACACACAGAACACCCTCAACACAGATGTATTTACTACTTTCAGAAAGTCGGCATGTTGATATGTTTGGCCGCCCATACATCAACCATATACCAGCTGAAAGAGTGTTTTTGGATCGTTCTAATGGTGTAGTTTATTTATAGTGTTACCATTACAAAAAAAATTGAGAAAAGTGCTTCAGAAGTATCCACACAGAAATTGAGGTATGGAGTGCCATTTGGTCATGTGGTGAAATGGCTTGCGGTTTTGATAAATGGGACCAGATGAACAAAAAGGCATAACTTTCTTATAGTTGCACATATGGACTTCATTTTTACATCAGATAAAAGAGTAAGGTTCAAGGAACAAACTTTACACACAACACCTATGATTTTAATCACTCCTTGGCAGTGAAAATCTGGGTTGAAAAAAGTGAGTTTTTGGTCAATTTTTTCACACTCTAGTGATTTGCGCATGACTGAGCAAACAATTTGGTCCTGGGGAAAGCCATGTCAATTAAACAATGTGGTAATGAAAGGGTTAAGGAACCTTCCCGACTCCTCCCAAGTCCTCCAATGATACTGTCTTTGTACTCAAGACTTTCCTTGGGCTTCAAACCATATGTATATTATAAGTGGCTGGTCTCCATCTTGTTCAAGCGATTGAAAGTTTTTGTGTGTAGCAAAAAGCATGCACACCTAAATTTCATCTGAATGATATACACGACTGTAGCCTCTTTGCACTGGACCCATATGCATCTTCAATTGTCATTCATAAATACCTAAGACGGTTTACACATTCCTATTGGTCGAGAGCCCGTCACGTGGCCGGTCTTAAACGGATGATAAAGACATGGCTAGCTGGTCTTAAACACTTTTCCAGTGTCACATGAAATTCGAACTCCCATGAAATCCGGTGCCTTTTAACGTTTCATTGGTTGAACGTTCACATTCCTCACGTATGCATGTACAATACTACCAGTGAATCAGTATGTCATGGTCCGAAATTCACACACCAGCCCAGCTGCGTTTTGCGTGACATCGCGCAGTACGCGCGACGCGCATGCCAATGTCCTTATAAGGTAACGAGTTGTGGAGGGGCATTCCATATTATAGTCAGAGGGGTGTTTCGTAAAACATGAAGTAAAAGTGTTGAACAAAATGGTGGGCAACGTCTAGTTTTTGGCTTGTTTTGAATTTTTGACCGAAAAGACTTTTTTGTTTTAGACCGAAAAGGTATTTCTGAATGGGAATAAATATGTGTTCGGTCGGTATTAAACACTCTGTTTAAGACCGGTGGGAGTCTGGATGGTCGATCATTACCCGAGGCGAATCACCCATCCAGACTCTGACCGGTCTTAAACAGAGTGTTATAATACCTCCCGAACACACATTTATTCCCTTTAATAGTCATATCCCTCTGTTGAACACCGTTCATGAGTTACTTGAGCACGAAGTCAATACGACTCACCAAGGTGTCTCTTGTCATCATACTCGATGAGCTTACTCTCGTAGACTGTCCGCACTCTCAATTGTCGCTTGACGGCTGAGATGAGGGGAGGTCTCTGGAACAAGGCACCTGTCAGGGTCTCCAAGGCCTGCAAGACAAATAATTGTGACTTGATCTTAGAAAGTGTATTTTTAAATAAAAGGACAAGAACTGAAGCAAACCACAAGACTTCATCAAGAAACTGAACGTCAGTATTTGGCAATAGTTAAGGCTATCAAATCTTCTTTCCGCAAACTCGGCTTGGTTTTCTCAAGAGAAATATTTTACCGAGGATTTAAAACAATTAAAAAAAAAAAATGCATGCATATTGATATTTTCACAACGGATAGGGCCGATATAAACATCTTGTTCAAGTCTTCAATATAATGGTGAGTTTAAATGCTGTTCATGCTTGTTTCCCCCTAATCTCAGTTACAGGATAACTAGATTAGGGGTTTGGAGTTAATTATTGTGTAGAGGCAGAAGTCTGCCTCTGTATGTCTTTACTGTAGGCCTTACCCGGGCCAACTTTGCTTGGTTCTCAATAGCGCTGTGCAATCGGACTATACACACATACTCCTTACCTATTAATACAACGGAAAAAGAACACATCACAGGTTACAATCATTTCAAGTGAACAACATTGCACAAATGGGCACCAAACGACATGATGGATATGGTTCATAGTTAACATCAACTTGCTTTTCAGTGTGAGCTTAGGCCATAAAATAGCATACTGCTACTAATACTTTGTGGGGGAGCGTGGCCTAATGGTTAGGGTTCGTGGCTCACGATCAGAGGGTCAGGAGTTCGAAATCCAGCTGCTGGTTGTATGGTTGTGTCCTTGGGCAAGCCACCTCATCCCCACTTGCCTCTCTCTGCCCAGGAGTATAAATAAGTACCAGCATTCAGTTCTTCTGTTTTGAGGCGTGCGATCACACCCCCACGCCATCACACACCTAAAAGCTTCCTGAGAAGTGCGAATAATCGCACGCCTGAATCCCTCAGTACCGCACACCTCGGCATACATTTACAGCATAATTTTACCTCATAATTGGTGAAAAAATAAAGTACGTCAGTGAAGAGAAAATGGCTTTATTGTAAACCAAGATGAATATTATGAAATATATCCCAGCTTGGACCATAGAATCACACACCTAGAAAAATCACACGCCTAGAAAAATCACACGCCTAAAAAAATCCAGGTGTGCTTTTTTCCCACACACCTGTGATTTTCAAATCAGAAGGACTGGCATTAGCTGGGGAGTAACCTGCGATGGATCGTCGTCCCATCCCATCCAGGGGGCACAGAAATATTCTTAGTCACTTTAAGCCGTTTAAGCCGGAGGTAAACGCCGGCCCGATGGGCTATTGGCTTGTGATAGACTTTACTACTTGCTTTGTGATTTCCCTTTGCAAGCAAGTTTTGGAAGCATGCTGTCACACAGATTCTCTTATCTACCAACAAATGCGAATTGATTCACACCACCATGCAGGCTGTGACAGTACTCTTAACCCTAACCCTGCCAGACGCAACACAGTGCATCAGGTAGGTGGAAAAGTCTGGTGCACTTTGATGCATTCAGCTACCAACACCAGTGCATAAACGGCTGCTTCTGAGACAATGAGAGCTAGTCCCATTGAACAATGCCACAGTTGTATCCTGCTGCATTCGGTGACCACAGACTCTAAGGCAGTTTGGCCTTGAGACTTTTGGCCTGATGGATCTTGCTACACTGGGCAGGCTTGTCACTTAGACAAGCATTGCATGTTGCTGCGTTTGGCAGGGTTTCTAGCCAAAATGCCCTGGAGGGTTAGGGTTAACAATGCTAGTTTATAACCCGAGCAGTGGATCCAATGTAAAGACAAGTACGGACTAATTTTGGGTTTCTAATAAGCCATTACTACAGTGATATCATTCTTGTCAGCAGGTCGTTCATGCTCGCTCGATGCTCCGTAGACCAACAGCCTTGCCAAAATGTGTACATCAAAAGTATACTACAACCTCTTGTCTTGATTCATACTGGACCAACACCCCTTCTCAGGGGTCACAAGGGCAGGGTATACACATCCTTCCTGCCAGAAACACTGGGGCGAGCCCCTTCTCTTAGCAATATGCGTTACTGGGTTTTTTTTACGTGCGTTTATCTTATACAACACACGGGACCTACGCCTTAACCCATCCGAAGGACGAAGCAAGAATGGTTAAGTGCCTTGCTTAAGGGCACAAGTGTCTGCGCCCAGGCTCGAAACCAACTTAACCGTTGCCTCTGAAACACCAGAACATGAGTCCAGTGCTCTTAACCGCTGGGCCATGGCACTCCAATAATGGCTTCATCACAATAATGGCTTCTGATTGTGTTGGTCGGAACCCACTGGGCTAAGGATGTGAGAAGAAAGATTTACCCAGCAGGGAAATATTAAGACCTACCAGCACTCTGCTGTGATTTGACGAGCCTCGTTGCCCTGGAAATACACACAATCAGACAACCGGTGACCTTGGGGTCAAGGGTACCGCTGTGACCTGTCTTATCCACACGGAGGATCTTCTTGATCCAAGAGACCACCTCGTGGGATGAAGGATTGGAAGGCTTATCCAAGTTGATGAAACCACTCCTGATAAAACAAATAAAGCATAAAAAATTATACACGAGTTAAAGGTGAAGTCCATCATTTGTAACTTGTGCATTTTGTTCGTTTGAAGCAACAAACGTACTAAAAATCTGAAGAAGGGTGCTGAATAACTAACCTGATGAAGTTTCAGCTTAGCTTCAGCTGTAAATTTTGAGAAAAACAGCATTCTAAGATTGGATTTCATATCAAAAGTTGCTGAATCATGTTTTGAATTGGGCCTGAATTCAGCGTCCGAGACACATTCTCACTAAGCCGAATGCAGAGCTACGCGATGTCACGCACCGATCCGACGAATTATAGTGACCGTGCGCGCATGTGCGTAGTGCCAACGCTTGCACTTCGCCGAATAAAAAAAACCGAACTACTAACGGAAATTTCCAACGGTGCGTCTGGTTTGAAAGGCCTTCTTTCGTTGATTTCTTCAAAATGACAACTTGCCAGAAAGAATAATTTCACAGGGAGTTTAGTTCCCTTACTATCTTTCAACCAATCACGTTTTTCAACAATAATTACGTCAGTTACTTTTTGGATAGCTGCAAATGATGGACTATAGCTTTAAAATGATAAAAACCTTGGATGAAATTTCATACTACAAGTGCACACCTGTAGGAGAATCAAACAATGCCAGTTCATTTCATCTGAGGCTTTGCATCTGGGTATTAATGATCAACTAAAATTTGAGGGATTCTTAACTTCCTCGACAAAAGTGCAGCCAGAAATGCCAACTTACGTGACATAATCTTTGAACTCTCGCTTGAGTGGGGAGCAGCCACTGGGCAGGGGAGTGTAGTGACCGGTGCGGACGTTCAACTTGTCAAAGTTCTTGAGGAGAAGCGGCCATTGTGAAGTGTCTAGCTTGGGAGTCTTAGACTCCGGCTGGATCAGGAAACTCGTCTCTTGCTGTATATCCTGAGAATGAAGAGGACAAAATGCGTAATAAATCATATTTAAAGTGTACTGCTTTAATACGATACTTGTAACAAAATAACAAACTTTGACTCCAAACAAGATTTACAACTTATTTGAAATATTAAAACTGGTGTTTTGACAAAACTACGCCTTCTTCTTTACTTACACCAAGAGTGCTCTCTTTTTGCTTCTTATGTTTCTTGCTTTTCTTGCTCGGAGTTTCTGCAAAGTTTAAAGATAGACATTAGCAGGTATTTGTCATCAGATGGCACTTTGTTAGCATTAGCATTTTATTAAATTTCTCCCCCTCAAAAGTAAAAAAAAAAGGGAAAAAGAAAAAGAAGAAAACTGTCACTTAGGCCCATTTTGGGTAGGCCTTCTCAATAAAATAAGTAGTTTATCGTCCGGCTTTTTGAAAAAATGAAGGAGGCGGGCGCTTTTCCCCCTTTTTCCCCTCCAAAGGTGGGGAATTTTCCAAGATGGTGGATAGATTCTTCATTTTCTCAAGTATTTTGCTGATACGAAATTGTTTTCAAAGCCTAGAAGTAGGCATGTTCATGATGATACAGTATAGGAGCTCACATTTTCAACATTGCAGGCATAGCCGGCCGTAGGGCCTACATGTAGGCTGAGCTACAATTTTGTTGGAAAAAAATAAGAGACAAAATATGCAAATACTATGGGAAAAATTCCCATATCTGGCCATCACTAATTTTTCCCTTCAGTAACCTAGTAGTATATTCAGCCATCAGAAAGTGATAATACATATGTACGTGTATGTCCTAAAATTTAAAAAGTCAAAATTAGAAGTGAAAATATGGAAGTAGGCCTATTTACTAAAAAAAATTCAGACCAGTCTCATAGGGTTTGTGCACAGGGTGACAAGTGATGGCCAGATATGGGAATCTAATATTTTCCCCGCTAATTTTGACTTTTTAGGACACATTATGGAAAGAATGTTGCAACCTGACGCTACTTCAGCGGTTGTGTACAAATTCTACGGAGAGTCAAACAAAAGTTTTAAGTAGAATTGGAAATATTGGTAATCCTTACTTTTAGGACCCCGTTCCTATATAGGAAGGGAAAGACTCACCAAAACAGTTGACTAAATGACACTCAAAATTGACATTCTGATATTTCTTGGCACATCTGAACAATTAGCAATGACACCTTCTTGAATATCAGCAGGATTAATTTTGTGGAAAGAGGGCAGGGCTTTGATTTATGAGGGAAATTCAGGGGTAAAAGACGACGATGACAACCAGAAAACAGACTCAAAAACCAAGATGGCAAACCTGAAAGCTCAATGCGATGAAAGCTCGATGCTGATTGGCTGATAAATTTTTTTTTATTTTTTAGCAGCCAATCAGCATCGAGCTTGCATTATGTAGGGCTTTCAGGCATGTGAGAACTACAACATGCATGTCTGACTGCGAAAAAAGGTAGGAAAGTCACATTTTCTTTGAAAGTGCTTTCAAAATTACAACTAACATGAGTTTATATGAAGAAAAAAGACTGCTTCAACCTGCAAAAGTCACATTGGACTGGACAGTCATCTGCAAAAGTCAGTTTTGAACAGAACTCGTAAAAAATAGAGGTGTCCTAAAAGTAAGGATTACCGAAATATTTCTCTGTCCCAGATTCATGTCTTATTATCATCATTTTTGCGATGACTGACATGATTGAGATGATAATTGATAGATGAAGAGTTTAAAAGCTGCGTCAGGTTGCACTTGCAACCTACATGACCTAACATGCCTAACATTCTTTCCTATATTATCACTTTCTGATGATGGCCGGCTGATATTCATGATATTACTACTCATAGGAGGCCTTACTCCTAGAACTATGAGGCTCCACGTAGTGGAGCCTCATAGGTTTAGAAGCCCGCAAAATTGTTGTCAGCACAAAACACTAATTAAGTACAAAAACGTCCATCCCAAGCAGGCCGTTTTCCACAGAACCGCTGCACAGTTTGCCCCTAAACTCCATACAATACCTCATGACATACTCACGTTATGTGCACCCAACAAACATCGGTGGATTCTGTCTGTTTTTCGGCAAAAATGATGAAAAATATGCCCTTTCTGCACTGAGCCAACCTAACACTTGAAACGAGCACGCGTGCAGAATGATCGCAGTTATTTTCGGTTCGATCGCTCGGAGCGCGCCGCGGGGGGTATGGTGTAGGAGCGGAATGATAGTATGCACGAGCGATCGAACCGAAAATAACTGCGATCATTCTGCACGCGTGCTCGTTTCAAGTGTTAGGTTGGCTCAGTGCGGAAAGGGCATATTTTTCATCATTTTTGCCGAAAAACAGACAGAATCCACCGATGTTTGTTGGGTGCACATAACGTGAGTATGTCATGAGGTATTGTATGGAGTTTAGGGGCAAACTGTGCAGCGGTTCTGTGGAAAACGGCCTGCTTGGGATGGACGTTTTTGTACTTAATTAGTGTTTTGTGCTGACAACAATTTTACGGGCTTCTGAACCTATGAGGCTCCACTACGTGGAGCCTCATAGTTCTAGGAGTAAGGGGGCCTACTAGGTCACTGAAGCCAGGGAAAAATTAGTGATGGCCTGATAAGTGATATGGGAATCTTTCCCAGAGCTGGTTCCAAGTTGTTTCCATCATGACTCCTTCCACAAAGTTGACCTGCAAAATGCTACATAACCAAATGTGGCGGGGTATTCTCCTATTCTGCAATTACTCCATCACATAATTGCGTGCACAGCTGTGCATGCAGTACAGCATTTGTACGGTGAGCCGTTGGGCGGCCATTTCAACTTTACAAGTTACAACCACTCCAGAAATATTTGATTTTCACACGAAATTTAGGCTGATTTATGGAAGAATCAATATCACATGACTCCTACATGAGAAACAAAGGCACGTAATTTCATTTTAAGTATGCTTCTTAAATCTTAATGTATTTATTCGGATTGTTTAGTGGCGTATTTTTTTGAACTTACCTGCAGCGTCGGCCATTTTGTTTGTGAACTACACGTGGTGGCGAAAGCGCGCAACAGCTATGGCACGCCTGAGTACAAAATATAGATATGTGTAAATGGAATCCTTTTCCAGCTTAACACTGTTTATGTATATTTGTCCCAACAGGCGGAACTCAGTTAACAACTTCAGAAAATTAATCACTGGTGGGCTAGGTATTATAACATAAGTTTTATGAACAAAAAATCGGAAACCCCAAGTCACTTTTGAATTAAAAAAAGAAAGAAATTTAATCATCATTAGCCCAATTCGGACAAAGCTAGGTTTGCCCAACTTGGGGAGAGTGTTTGTCAATGATTACCCACTTTTTGTTCTTTCATTGAATTTTTTTTGTATACAAACATGTAATTTGTTTGTTATAATCATAGAGCTATATTAAATTACTGCGCGCGGAGACGCTTTGAAGCCGTCCTGGGCGCAGACATTTTGAATTCATGTGCGTGTTTGTAGAACATAATGAAGTTAGATGGATTGAATTTTTGAAAGTGTACTCTACATGCAACGGCGTCATGAGAGTTAAAAAAACGTCACTGCAAAAAGCATCTGCAGCGATGATACGCGCACGGGCTGCGCTGTTTGCGTAGAGCAAAAGACACGCTCATTTGCTGATCGTGCCTTTCGGTTTTGGGCGTATTGGCTTCGATAATGCACCGGTATGGAATACAAACGCAGATATGCAAATAGCCGTACAAAAGCCGTACACAATTTCTAGTTCTCCATAGGTTTGTGTACAAACATGCGCCCACTTTGTACTTAAGAGGTAGCGCTCTCGTAATTTACTATACATGTAGCTCTATGGTTATAATCCATCAAAATTAACAATCAAGTTTAGATTCGGCACTCCATATCATTCAGATTCAGGTACTAGCGCCCTCATAAAAACTGGGTTGTTAAAAACACTGGTTATCACATTCTTTGCCCTATAGTTTACGTACACAGCCGAGTACCAGGCCACGGGAGGCATGTAAACAACTAAATCCTGCAAGGCAAGGTGCAGATTGACATTTCGTCGAATTTCAACAAAAATGAAGATCAACGTGAACAACGAATACCCAACATTTTGATTCAAGTTAAAGATGTGTGACACAGAGGTAGGCCAATGCCGCCCAAAGTTTGATAATTATATATTTGATAATTGTGATGGACTAGAACTAAGTATGAGTATGACTCGGGTTCGTGACTACGGTGGCCCACAACTGTCACGGCAAAAGCAAAAGCGCCACGGCAAGCGCAAAAGCGCCGCGGCAAGCGCAACAGCGCCGCGGCAAGCGCAACAGCGCCACGGCAAGCGCAACAGCGCCGCGGCAAAAGAAAAAGCGCCGCGGCAAAACAAAAAGCGCCGCGGCAAAAGAAAAAGCGCCACGGCAAAACAAAAAGCGCCGCGGCAAGCGCAAAAGCGCCGCGGCAAGCGCAAAAGCGCCGCGGCAAGCGCAAAAGCGCCACGGCAAGCGCAAAAGCGCCACGGCGAAAGCAAAAGCGCCACGGCGAAAGCAACAGCGCCACGGGTTTATTGGGAAGGGGCGTAATCATACATGCCACTACTACATCAAAAATAAAATGGGAAGGAGAATGGCCGCCACCAGGAATTCTTATTAAGCACAGAATTTAATTCTTTGAGAAGTGATTTTATGGCTGAGAAAATAGCAAGGCCAAGGAAAACCGGTCAGGAAATAAATCGTCGATATTAATTTGTTGTAGGATAATTATTATTCCAAGAGAGTTGCTGCCGTGAATCAGAGTTTATAAAGGAGTGGGACTCGCTATCAGCACCATCAGGGCCGTTCCTCATTTCTTTACATTTCGTGGGATGCAAACAATTACGAGGACGGGAGGCTCTGTGAGCTGATGCATTTTTTTGAAGAGTTTTTTTCCTTCCGACTAGCATGCAGAGAAGAGTTCCGTTAATTTGAGACTTAGTTCACCCATGGGCGTCGCGAGGGGGGCAAGGGGGCGCTTCCCCCCCCCCCCCCCCTGGAATAGCACACAAAAAAGGAAGGGAAAAAAAGAGAAAAAAAGAAAAGAAAAAGAGGCGCGAAGTCATAGTGGTGTAAATTGAATGAGTTGGGGGGGGGGGGCAAAATGTCCCTGCCCCCGTCTAAAACTGAGAAATCGAGAATTTGTTCAGAAATACAAGAATTTTTTGGGAAAAATATGTTTTGCCCCCTCTAGAAACAATCCTGGCGACGCCCATGAGCTCACCGGTGTGTATACCAGTGTAGGCACACAATTGAGCTGCCCAGAGTTTGGATATAGAATAAGAAAGAAAGAAATTAACTCAGAACCTAGAACTCATTGGCCCACCCACCCCCGGCTCAAGAAACCAAGAAGCCGAACAAGACCTCATGATGCTTAGCGATAGCGATGATGAGTTGCCCTGTGGACAGTCTTCCACATCCTCGCAGAATCAGCCTGCAGGGCAGAAAGAGGGCTTGTTTCCGGCATCAAAGAGTTCCGTATTCACTCGAAACAAAGCAAACGGCTCTTTTCAGAGCCACCAAATTTTCATAGAAGAGCTTAGAACTGTGCATCTCAACGATACCACTTCTCCTTTGTTTAGTGTCTCTCCCTTACCCCCCCCCCCCTTTTTTAAGTTAATTTATTTCTTTCTTATTCTATATCCAAAGTCTTCGCCTGTGTTACGTTCCTTACATGAAATCCACGACCTAACCTCCTCTGTCGAAAGCGTTGCAACTGTCTAATAGAACGATCCATTTCTCGATTTGTGAGTTAGTATCTTCAAATCAGTCGTGTTTATTGGGAAGGGGCGTAATCATACATGCCGCCACTACATCTAAAATTAAATGGAAAGGAGTATGGCCGCCACCATGAATTGAGAAGTGATTTTATGGCTGAGAACGTTCAGCGAAGAGTTTTGAAATTCCCGCTCTCTGGGAATTTCTAACCTAATGGGCCCGCGGGCGAGTTACGTGTTGACAAGCCTTACCCACCCACTGCCGCAGCCCTGCAGGAGAGCCTTAATCGACTTTCTAGATGTGTATGATATACTGAAAAAGAAAAAAAAATTAACTCATACACTCTGGGCAGCTCACTTGCGTGCCTACACTGGTATACACACCTGTGAAAAAAAGGCTCAAATTAACGGAACTCTTCTCTGCATGCTAGTCGGAAGGGGGAAAAAATGTCTTCAAAAATGCATCAGCTCACAGAGCCTCCCGTCCTCGTAATTGTTTGCATCCCACGAAATGTAAAGAAATGAGGAACGGCCCTGATGGTGCTGATAGCGAGTCCCACTCCTTTATAAACTCTGATTCACGGCAGCAACTCTCTTGGAATAATAATTATCCTACAACAAATTAATATCGACGATTTATTTCCTGACCGGTTTTCCTTGGCCTTGCTATTTTCTCAGCCATAAAATCACTTCTCAAAGAATTAAATTCTGTGCTTAATAAGAATTCCTGGTGGCGGCCATTCTCCTTCCCATTTTATTTTTGATGTAGTAGCGGCATGTATGATTACGCCCCTTCCCAATAAACCCGTGGCGCTTTCGCTTTCGCCGTGGCGCTTTCGCTTTCGCCGTGGCGCTTTCGCGCTTGCCGTGGCGCTTTCGCGCTTGCCGTGGCGCTTTTGCGCTTGCCGCGGCGCTTTTGCGCTTGCCGCGGCGCTTTTTGTTTTGCCGTGGCGCTTTTTCTTTTGCCGCGGCGCTTTTTGTTTTGCCGTGGCGCTTTTGCGCTTGCCGTGGCGCTTTTGCGCTTGCCGCGGCGCTGTTGCGCTTGCCGCGGCGCTTTTGCTTTTGCCGTGACAGTTGTGGGCCACCGTACGTGACTGACCACCGTCACTCGCTCACTCATCAGCTCATTGACTCACCGCAGCATGAATGCTGAGCCGGCCATGTGAGCATGTTGATGTTGTGCGCTTTCTTGCAATTTGCGCAGTCTTAAGAATGAGCGCGCATTCTTAAGAATGAGCGCGCAATCTTAAGAATGAGCGCTCATTCTTAAGATTGTGTAGGAATTTGGAGTAATAATAATAGAACGCAGGGCCATGCCGGAAAAGTTTTTTTTCTGTAGTTGGAAAAACTTGGATGCGATGTGAGGAGTGGGGTCGTTGAGTAGAATGGCACTCTTTTGAGAATGTACGTAGATGAAGGGCCTATAACAAAAAATAGAGGGCGGTATAATTTAGAGTGAACGGGCATGAAGTAAATTGTGATCAATAGAGGGTGCTGTAGAGAGTGAATAATTGACAAGTACGTGTAGAATGTATACCGAGTGAGATGGCTTGGGATACCTTGGATGCGTGGATGAGCAGATGTGCGGATGCGGGGTGGATGGGCATGAAGTCATCAATAGAGGGCGCTTTATTTACCTTAGGACTCTCTACTGTATTTGCCCTAGGACCCTAGTCATGCTAGTCCGAGTAACTTGGACCCAACTTATCGCCTTTTGAACGGGCATGAAGTAAATTGTGATCAATAGAGGGTGCTGTAGAGAGTGAATAATTGACAAGTACGTGTAGAATGTATACCGAGTGAGATGGCTTGGGATACCTTGGATGCGTGGATGAGCAGATGTGCGGATGCGGGGTGGATGGGCATGAAGTCATCAATAGAGGGCGCTTTATTTACCTTAGGACTCTCTACTGTATTTGCCCAAGGACCCTAGTCATGCTAGTCCGAGTAACTTGGACCCAACTTATCGCCTTTTGAACATTCGGACATGGTCTGGCGATAGTAGGGTCCAAGCTAATCCTTATATGCCGAGCAACACAATTCTGTCGTTGACCCAAAAACCCAACATTGCCAAACAAAAACATCAGATTTCACCCTCAAAACGGCCTCCAAATTACTAGATACGCCACCTGAGGTACAAGTAGACATCGATAATTAAGATGGCTGTACTGAAGTTTACTTACGATCCGGATGAAAAGTAAAATTCCCGTTCAATTCCGAGAGCTCCCCTCGCGGTCGTGAACACGTTAAATTTCCGACTCGTGTTTGAATTGCGATGTGGCATCATGCCCAGCGTTCATTCGATGGTCCCCGTATCCTGAGTGCGATTCCGTTACCGAGCACGCGCGATGCATTGATTATGATAATGAGTAGACTGGATCACGTTTGTAAACACAAGTGCATTTCGAACATTAATAATGAGTCGGGAACTAGAGGAGATTTTATGGACGGAAACCAGTTCAAGCTAGTTCCCGACTCCCTTTTATCGTTCAAAATGCACTTGTGTTTACAAACGTGATCCAGGCCTAAGTTGTGAAATTCGTACTAATTTTGGCCTAATTTGTATATTTCTCCATAGGCCTATTTTTAGTTGAGCAAAGCCACATAAATGCACCCTGTTCCATAATGAATGGTCATCTTTACTTGGACGACGGTCACTTGACCGATGATGATGATGACCACCAACATGTACTGGACACCACAACAAACACGTCTCTGGCCTGTCCAGATTTCAATGCCATGCGAAGTGAGAGGCGGGATCGGACAAGAGCTACCATGCAGGTAAATCATTGGTGTTCATCAGTTAAGTTATTTTCATTAAAATGTTGGCCCAAAACACCCAAAATAGTTCTGCTTCCGGTTTCCCTACCTACCCTATTCTTACAGTTCCTATCCTAATTTTTTTGTGGGAAAAATGAGAAAAAGGAACACCCAAAACCATCAATTACTAAAATTTTACCCTTGACAACACGCAGACCCTCCAAATGCTGGTACACAAAAAAAAAAATTTCAAAAAATGTAATCGGATGCAGATCTATTTTTTTGGCCTTATGTATCAGTGCAAACATGCACTGTGACTAGTCAAAATCATTTAAAGTGTCTTATCAATCACCTACAGTCAAAGCACAGCTGTATCAAGTTAAATAAACAGTCACAGCCAGTCAATCCTGCTTTATGTAGGCTGGGAGCTCTTAACTGTTAGAACACAGTCGCTTGATTGATTTTGACTGAAAGGACAACTTGGCACAGAATGTTTGGTTGCATAGGATAGCTGGTGTGCTCATCCTAAAAGGTGGCCACTGGCCGCCTTATCATGATCTACTTTCCTTAACCCTAACTCCCTGGGCATTTTTGCTAGGATGTAACCTCAATCCTGCAAAATCCTCCCACTGCCTTCAAGTAAAAATAGCATACAGCCTCAATCCTGCAAAATCCTCCAGCAGTCACTGGCAATATGTTGAGGCAGAGCCAGTGACATCCTTGATGAGCAGTGCGAAGAATTTCAAGTATAATATACATGTAGGTCTAACTAGTTTATGCATGGCTGAGCATAAACAACACAAGGTTCAGCCTTAGACCATGACACAGTGCATCCTCCAAAATCAGCCACGCACTTTTGCCATTTATAGCCGCAACCCTGCAAAATGCTCCATTTTGCAAAGAGGATTTTGGAGGAGTTGGGAAGGTTAGGGTTAACTACATTTGTAGCCACTATAATGACAGTTGTTACAAGAGTATTGGAAGGGTATTCCGGAGGTCGCAGGTTTAAACCCTACTCTTGTCAATTTCTTTCATCAAAACTGGACGAGTACATACACGTATGTATAAAGCTTAAAGGGACACTACATGTAGGTCCTGGAACAGCCAAATTGGGCTACAAAACGTGAATTGAACGAGTGGATGTTAATCAGAAATTACATTTAAAAGTAGGATATTTAAACATCCACACAACTATCCTTTAAAAACTGGGCGTTTTTGTGTTATTCCTGTATTATGCGTGCGAGAACAAATTTCGGGGTCCACTTTTGCGACCCCATAAATTCGAGCTGTTTGGATGCTAGTTGTGATTTCATTCGTAAAGTGTTTGCCTTTTGCGGACGTTGAAGAAACCACTTTTTTTTTGCATTGGTGATTGGTCACTGCTGGTCCCGAGACACACAACGTGTATCGTACACTGAGAACGACACGAAAAACGTATTCGTACTCCGTCATATCCGATGTAAGGAAGCAGGTTTTTTTGGTCTTTTCTCAGGAACGGTAAGACATTACGTTGGTTTCCATTCAACCAGATGTTTGAAATACATGTAGGCTAAGTAAACAATCCAAAACATAGAATTTTCGGGGATTTCAGGACCTAGTGCCCCTTAAAATGATGTACATGTACTGTATTCATTTTCCCGTTTTACATGAAGACCAAAACTGCCCACACGCACCATGGTGGCTTTAAGCTAAACTTCCTTGCCTGGTATGCACTTGTATCTGTCCTTGTACAGGTACGTCTTCAAGAAAGAAGCCAAATTTTGAAGACATATATTCTTAAGTAAATATCCTCAGAGTTGTGTACACAGAGAGTTGCACGGGCCTGTAGGCCCCAAATGTTCAAAATTTCAATCTCGATTTTTTTTTTCTTAGGATGCATTAACATCTGAGCTATTGGTCGGTTTCTTGCCTCAGTCCAAAGTCCTAAAAAAGAAAAGAAGGAAGACCTCAAGAAATGTCCTTATAATAACATCAATATCAATTTCGCAGTTACAAAAAAAATAAGAAAAACAGCATTGCTGTCATTTTCAATTAAGATTGCAGCCTGCAGCGTTGCCATGAGGTAGCTCGGCAGCTGAGAGCGAAAAAACGATAAAAAAAAAAGTGGAACACTCGTCAGAACCAAAATTAGAACGAACAAACCATCAGTGTAACTGCTTCAGGGGTGTAGTGTTTTATTTTTATAACAAGTTGCGGAGATTGAACCTATGTGTAACAATGATCTATAAAAATGATTGCATAGAGAAGGAAATTGTCGGTTAGCTGGCAATTCAACTTGGCCCGATTTTACAGAGCTTCTGACAGAAAATATTGCTTAGAAAATGGCTAAGCCCCTGGTCATAAAAGGGAATATACATGTACAACATTTGCAAACATCAAAACAACAAAACTACAAAATGTACCAAATTACTATGAAATACATGTACATGTACCGTACTTGACTGTAAGCGAATGAAAGTCTCAAGCATCCTGTGAAATCATGGCAACTGGTGTGCTGACATTTTCAAGAAAGCTGGAATTTTGGTATCAGTTGCCAATGATGGTCAGGGTAACAACATTTACTATAAAATACTAACCCCCAAATCCATCCATTGCCGAAAATTACAGCAAAAGCAAATGTTGTATATTGTACTGTATTTATGTACCTTTAAAGGGAATGTACAACATTTGCTTTTTCTGTAATTTTCAGAAGTAAATGGATTTGGAGGATTAGTATGTTATAGCAAATATTGTTAAACTGACTTTTTTCACGTTTTTGGCTTGTAGATGCTGGAAATAACCAAGAAACCAATCATATTCTTGTAGTCTGGTTCCCTGATCCCACTTAGGACGAAACTGAGAAATTTATAGACTTTGGGGAATTGTAAGGCCAGAGAATCAGTCTGGCAGGCTTGTACCCCTTCATGTTCACAGGTGTGTCATCAATTGCAAAGAAAATGCAGAACAACTATAATGAAAAATTCGGAGTGATTTCTGAAAAAAGCCAGTTTTTTCCAATGCTGGTCGGCTGACCAGCGTTGGAAAAATACAAATTTTCTTGAAAATGTCAGCACACTAGGAGACACGATTTTACAGGATGCTTTAGACTGTCATTCCCTTACATTAAGGTATTTCTTGATAATTTGATCATTTCGTTTTTTGATGTTTGCAAATGTTGTATCTTTCCTTTAAAATACACTTCAGAATGATAATATCTGAAACATTTATTCAGTTTAGTCAAATCAAATTATCCATCTGCATTATAAAAAAAAAAAAAAAAATTAAACATGAGTCGACAAACATCAAGAACACATCGACAAACATCAGGAACACATCCCCAAAGTTTGATAAGAAATGATAGAAAAATTGATAGAATGAAAGACATGACAGAAATGAGATAAAGTCAAGGCTTAGAAAACTGCTCCGATGCCCGATGCCGTGTCCTCCTCGCGTGACGTACTCACAACGCTGAGAGTCAATTGTCTACAGATGATTACACGCAAGCTGTGCTGTCACCTGCCAGTGCGGATGTACATGTAACTGTCTGGTCTGGATGCTACTAGGGTGGCTGGTTGGCACCAACTTTATGGCACTGGTTTCCGATTGATATCAAAGGAAACTGTCGGCGCATCTCCAGATAGCTTTGTAATTTCATTTGTATTTTCAGCAGATAAGCAAAGTGCTGCGTTAATATTGTTATTTGTTCAGACATTTTCCGAGAAGGGATGTTTATGTTGCATGGATTGCACAAAGAACTTCAGCCTGTTATCACGTAGGCTACTTCTCGAGAAATCTGTTATCGCGTAGGTAACATGAACAAAATTATTGTAATTGTAAACTCGTACAATAGTACACAGTCTTTAAAGAGGTTGTGGAATGCTCGAAGACATTTCCGTTATTTTTCGGGTATATGTAGCCTAAGGTGTGATGAAATAAAAACGACTATTGTTTCTGTCATAAAATGAGTACGAAAGGTACTTTTGAGAGCTGTTTTTCAAGTCCTGTCATGCGTGTTTCAACCCGAACGTGCAATTTGTGTAAAAGTCGTCGTTGCGAGCAGCAAACAAAACACAGTAAATCGTGACGTAATAAACAGGACTCCCGATGCAGAGTAGCATAAACGAGTCCTGTTTATTACGTCACGATTTAGTGTGTTTTGTTTGCTGCCCGCAACGACGACTTTTACACAAATTGCACGTTCGGGTCGAAACAGGACCTGAAAAATAGCTCTCAAAAGTAACCTTTGTACTCATTTCATGACAGAAACAATAGTCGTTTTTGTTTCATCACACCTTAGGCTACATATATCAAAAAAATGACGGAAATGTCTTCGAGCATTCCACAACCTCTTTAAGGGATTTCTACAGTATATATTTGAGGCCAAGTTTTCAGTTTTCCATTTGGGTTGGACATTGAAGAATTCTAAATGATGTACAACATTGTAAATTGATTCTGAAGTCACATCTACGCAAAGCTAGTTACAATGTACCGGTAGCTGGTGACATAAGTGTACAATACATGTACACGTATGTACAATATGTACATGTATGTGTAGCTGAGGTTTTGAAACTACCAATTCCATATTCTTCTTTTAGTCTGAAGATCAGACATTCATGTGTGCAGAGCCACACGACCGAACATCTGAATCTGGCATGCAAGTCTTCCTCGCATCTGCTGATTTCCTCATTTTTTACTTCCCATGAAAACCATTACAAGTTGAAAAATATTGTACAAAATCTTGTGTGGTTTGGAGTGTCCTCCTTTTTTCTGCCTCTAAATTCCCAGTTGCATGCCTGATACAAAATGTACATGTATCCTAGCATGCAAATTGTACGCGACCCGCACGCCGGCTAATCAGAGTCAACTCTATAAACTTTGACGTTATAACGATAAGAAATGTGGACTAAGCTGTTGATTGGCAAATTTGACTGACATTGTTTTTGTAAAACAACAATGGGTTTAATATGGAAGACCCGATTGAAGGCGCCCGCTGAATGGTCAGAATCTCGAGGTCAAGATCGACGCAATCTTCTTTCCGCTGA